GACGTCCTGGCAAGATCCTTGATTAGTTTACTGGGTTTCGTTGCTGGAGAACGATGTTCTTGCCCGCCAGCTAGTAGTTGTGACGTCACGTGCAAAGTATGAATTGTCGGAAGCAATTAAGAGAGAATTATTAACTTTAACCAGTGCTGTCTCTGTGCTATGATGAACTCTAAATCCTGACTAAATTACATGATATGGTTGGTACCAATGGTTGCCTTAGGTTTTCTAGTTTCAATAATACTGTTGTTGTATTGGTTTAGTTAAATTTGTTATAAAAAGCTAATTGGAAGCATCATGGACACATGAAAATGTTTTTAAATGTAGTTCCCCTGCCTAAACAGATAACAGATGGTAACATATTAAAAGAGAGTATTTTGTTCACTCAAACTGAAAGGAGTGACCATTAAAGACATTCTGCAGACACTGGCACTGAAGAGAATGTTTTAACCAGTTTCAAGGACACATTTATTTAAGATCAACTGCAAGATATGTGAATAAGCTTATGCTACAGGCCCTCAACCTGCTTCTTTTATATACAGTGGTATCTGTAATATTAGTGCCAGTATTAAATAATACAGATGAATATGACAATAATTAAAAACCTTATTCTGACATTAGATGCTGCTTTCTCAACACTGTAGACATATGCCTATACTATTTGCATAATATTCCATTAACATTTCAGCAATATCTTTCAAGCAATTCAAAGGTTTTTTTTTCTTATTACTTCAGACATTGTTTTCACTTTACCATGTTTCAAAGGACATAGAAATTAGCCTACTATTCACACACACTCCCAAACAGTCATACAACAATGGAGTTTATCTTTTTATTAAAGCCACGTTTCGTGTTTGTTTATTTGTTTAATGTCATGAAATATTGACAACTAACCTTGTTTTCTGGTTTGTTGTTTAACTAGGTTACACGTTTAGATAAAAACAAAAACTTTCATATTACAGGGGAATTACAAGTCCATTAGAAGAAATATGTATAAATACCCGCCACTGAAAATGTCTCATGTTAGACATTTTGATTAAATACTCTTTATACAGTGGCACATTAGTCGATACAATGCATTTAAAAGTTATAAAAGACAAAGTAAAGGAATACACAACAAATAACATATTACAGACCCCCCCCCCTCAGTATTTCACAGTGCAGTAGTCCAAGGCGCGCTCAGCGATTTGGCGCTAGAGTGTCCCCGGTTTACTGTACGCTCTAGCCCAGCTGGTGTAACATAGACACTTTACTCATTTAGATTTTGACTGGTTTTAACATTTGTAAACACATGATATTAATGGACAATCATGTCTGAAGAGGAAAATAAGGTTTCCGATGAACTTTTCAAAGATGTCAAATTCTACGTGGTAGGGGACATTGACCAAAAGGTGAGGCTCTGGACGTTAGCTTCTTGTAGCTAGGTTGGTAGCATGCTAACTTGCTAGCACCATTTAATCCAAATGGTGGGCTGCACAAAAAAGCTAACCAGCTAGCTAGCTAAGTGGCTGACATGCTACAGAAAAAACATTGAGCTTGCTCTTTGCTTAGTGTTGTGGCAGTCCTTATACTGTGCCTTGTAGAGTTATGTTTGAGACTGTGTTTGTTACTCGACTGAAGTATTCTGTGCGGGAGCTACTTAGCATTGCACTTTACATGCAGCCACTTGGCGCTAGCTATGAGTTTCGTAGTTACACAGAAGGTTAGCGGCTAGCTTATAGCCTCCGTTACATCTGTCATGGGGCTTTCTAAGCTAGTAATACAACTGGCGTTTGACAGCTTGGTTTATTCTAATCCCCGGCCGCTGAACAATCGCAGTACTGTTACTGCGCTGTTCTGACATGTAGCAAAATACCAAGGTACACAGGATCATGCACAGTTATTTTACATCAACATCTTGCTCAATTGGGCGCCCCTTAATGCGCATGTGTCGCTATTATATCAGTCGTTGGTACTGGGGACCTGTGGCACAGTGCTGTACTTCCTGCCAAATAGTGATTCCTAGTCGCACCTCTCTTTGAGTGTGTTTATATACAGTAGACACGACGTGTGAACTGTGATTCTTACAATAAATGAAACGCAGCATCGTTGACTGCAGGTTGTCAACTGTCAACTGTGAGCTTATTGCTTAAGTGAAATAAGAACATACAGTTAATAGCTCTTGCATCATTCAGCAGTAAGGTAAACTTACTGCCACAGTCCAACCAAAACCTTGTTGTGGACATTAAAAATGTTAATGAATCACGTCATTTCTAGTTGTTTAGAATATGAACAACTCTACTTTATTCCTGTGCGTTGGACAGTGTTTGGAAAACATAACTTTGCATGGAACCAATGGCATCACAATGGAAGAACTACAGCAAAGCAACCTTAGGGAGAAATCTAGATTGGTTAACTAAAGCAACTTAGAAAAGGTAGTTAACACTAGGCATGGGACAATGTTAAAATTTTATGTCATGATTATGCTAAATAATAGCCAAAATAATTGCCATTCACAATATCATTATGATAATCCCTCTTAAAATGGCATTCCATACATCCAGTTTAACTTTTTTTTGTGGGGGATACAACCAAGCCTTAACCATGGTGATAGGCTTAGGATTTTGGAATGACTGGAAAGATGCAGACTTCCCTCTCAGGAAATCAATATAAGACACATCAAGTCACTCGTATGGGCATAGTCACAATTATCCTGTTTCATAGTTAACCCAATAATGTAAATTCACCACAATAAGTGTTTCTTATCACACGTTATATATATATATATTGTGTATCATCCCGTGCCTAGTTCAGACTGCTCTGTAAATGCACATGTGAAATTGTTTTGATGAAATTATAACAAAACAGTCATGTACCTGCCTTCCAGAAACTAGTGTCCAGGTGGGAGTGTATTGCACTAAACAGGATTATAGAGTAATAAGGTAACAATTTCTCTGAACAAACAGCAATAATCAGTATGCATGACGAATTGACACTTAATATATTCAAGTTAAAACTATTGCCAGATATTTCACAGGTAAGCTGACAGTCCAGCTTGGAGAAACAATGGGGGGGTGCAGAGGCAGAGCGGGTCGTCCCCTAATCGGAAGGTTGTTGGTTCGATCCCTGGCGCTTGCCGCCACATATCGAAGTATCCTTGAGCAAGATACTGAACCCTGAACTGAGCTCCCTGTGTGTGTGTGTGTGAATGTGTATGAATGAGTTAGTTTCTGTTTGATGGGCTTTGCCATCACTGAGTGAATGTGTGCGTTTACACGTAGTGGTCGGAAGACTAGAAAG